AAGATAATGTAAGAAATTGATAGATGGCTTTATAAGTTATTTTAAAGTATTAACACATTTGCTACATTTAATTGCAAGTTCAGTTCCAGACAAAGTACCATTTTCATATCGTGTAAAATACTCCTTCAATTTATTATCACAATTGTTGTAAACTTTCAGCCTCTCGTTTCGCCAAACCCTTGCCATTGTTTCATTCATGAGTATTGTTTCTTTGCAAAAGCTTTTCCATTAAACAGTTAAATTCTATCATGGAGTATACAAAATGACTTGGTTAAAATTTTTAAATAGCTATTGATCCAGGTTTAGAAAAACGAACTAGTCTATATTGACACGTATCAACGTATGAATATATCAGCCATGTATCAGTTTCTTACGTTATCTTAAGGACTTATATGACTATTAATTAGTACACAGTTGATAGAAAAAAATGAATAGAATGCTACAAAATAAACGGGACGAAACGAGAAGATATCATTCAAAGCTGAAGAAATTTAGAATAGTGTGACATCTCTGCTTTGCTATACATGTCTTTTTCACAGTAGCGTGATCATTCTAATGACTTTAATGTCTTATTGATGGAAAAAAATAGAATATTCCAGACATAAAAAAGATCTTTTCAGCTATCTAATAATAGTTTGGTTTTGTACACATGAAAATGCGTGTTAAAGTCAAAGTATTAAGGTATACGTTTTCTAGAAGTTTATTAAACACGCGAAAATTTTTTATAACTTTATAAGAAAAAAGTACTTAACTTTCCAAAAAATTAAAATACAGACAACTTCCACCACAGTCATCCTGACGGACATTGGTGAGAAAAGATTGCTGGATACCGCAGGATAGACATGGAGAACAAAATCCTTTTTCTTTCAACCAACAAAATTCTGCCAGATCTCGTAGGAAAAAACTTGTGGATTGAATAAGTCAAAAAGTCTTGCGATGCAAAAAGTCTTCTTACCTTTACGCAGGATTTTTTCCATGCTGACCCTGCATAAACTATGCAGGGTTCTGTCAGGGCTGGCAGTATAAAAATCCTGCGTAAAGGTAAGAAACATCGCCAGATATTTTAATACCGATAACCCGCGGGATCCTGCGCAAACTCCTGCGGGATCCTGCATGAATTCTGATTATTTTTTTCAGTGGATAGTAGTCATACAACACATAGGCGGAACAGACGAATGCTTTCCCCTTCCAAGAGCATTTTTAACAAGAGTCCACCATCTTTTTGATTTAGTACTGAGATCAGATGATATTTTGCGATAGTACGATTTTTTTGCTTCATTACATTCATGTTCAAATGTTTTCGCAATTTTTTTATATAATTGTAAATTATACTCATTCTTTGTACGACGGTACCGACGAAAAGCTTTATCCTTTTCATACAACAGTTTATGGAGTTTTCCTGTAAACCATATTTTGTCGCGCGAAGATAAAGTGATTATTTTATGTGGAACAACTTTGTTAGCAATCTCTAATATTTTGTTTTGCACAAGTATCACAGCATCATCCAATGAGGATCCTTCTATTAAACGAAACCAATTAACATATGAAAGCTGAAAGCGGTAATAGTCCCAGTCAGTATTTTTATAGTCATATATTGTTCGCTCTCGCTTTTGCACAGGTTCATTTATAGATTTAATTGTAACTTGAATTATATTATGATCACAAGTTGAACACAGTCGAGGTAGAACAAGAATAGACTTAACACAGGATAGGCTATCAACAAAAACCAAATCAAGACAGGTGTCGGACTTTTCTCTAGTAGCACAATCAACTAGTTGATAAAGAGTAGCTCTCTCTGAGAAGTCATACAATTCTAGCCCTGCTCTGGTAGAGGGTTTAGTAGAAGTTGGGTACCATAACTTACAATGTCCATTAAAATCGCCTAATATAAGCATTTCATTAAAACTATATTTTGTGGATGATCTAACCTCATTTATTACATCATCAATATGCTCAGTGAAGCCACACATATTAACCCACTTAGGCCTGTAACATGCTGCAAGAAACACTGTTTTACCTCTATTAAGTTTTATATTCATATACATTGTTTCAAACTGATCAGTTTCAAGTTGCTCAAATCTGTTTGCGATAACATCATTTCTTACATACACCAATAATCCACCATATCCACTAGTACCGCCTTTTCTATCTTTTCTGTAAGGTAGTTGATATCCTGTTATCTCTAGGTCGTTGATGGATACAGAACTATTAAGCCAGGTCTCAACAATAACTACAATCACAGGGTTTTTTTGAGATACAATCAAAGTCAATAAATCAAGTTTAACAACATTCCTTACATTCGATAAGCAAACGTCAGTATCTACTTCAGCCATAATACTATTTGCATTTAAAAGAAGACATGTGCTTTCGCGACGGTCTGAGTCCTTCATACAACGATTAAGTTGAGACATATGAAAAAAAAAAACCATAAGCCTCTTTTCCCTTTAGCAACTGCTTTATAATACATATATCTATACGAATTGACGTGAAATAAAAAAGAATTGACCAAAGAATGTATACCATATCACACAGAGATACTATGAAAAGAGAGGGAACAAAATAAGAAAAGAAAGAAAACATGAATATATGCCGTCCATGATATAGCTATAGTTTATGTTTATGAAACAGAAAGAACATATGATCTAACTTACTGCATATGTGAACAAGCATGACTAAGTAATAAGTATTGAGGTTGAGTCATTTGTACGACGATATACTCGACCATTTCTTGTTATTATAGATTTTTTATCATCACCTTGTAGCTTGTTTCTTTCGTCGTAAAATAAACGTAAATTCTTTTGTGTTAAGTCTTCTACTATAGCCATACTTAGTTTTTTGCGTTTTAATGATGATGACGCACGTAATACTTTTAAACGTAATGGCCGACTATAAAAACGTACTATAATTGGACGGTTTTTATCATCTGAACGTTTGCCAATTCGATGTGAATTTTCAATATCATTATTACTAATAGATACGTTATCTAGATGCTGATTAACAGTATTGACAAATATTGCTGTTGTGTCTTCATTCGTTTTTTCAGGTACACCTAATAAACGTACGCACCACGTTCGATTGTACCGTTCCAAATCATCCATTCGTTGTTCCAATGATTTAACACATTGCTCTATCATTTCTAATATTGGACCCAGGAGCACATTTCCAATAGCATCAGCATATTTACCAATATCATCATCGTCATGAACACCATTTTTTTCTTGTGTAACAATATTTGATATTGAATGTTGTATGTCTTTATCATTTCTAATTTTCTCAATCATTAATTGTTTTAATTTGTCAGAATCCATCTGTTGTGGAAGAAGAGCTTTTCTTCCGCTACTGGCTATGCGCTTTGAAATTGTTGATAAGTTCGACTTATTACTAGACATGTTCATAGAGATGTAAATTCAAAGAGGATAAATTTAGATCTTACACTGAATTTTAGACAAATAGCTATATCAAGAATTTGTTTATATACGCATGCGAAGTTATGTCTTTACTTCATGAAAGAAAAAGATAGAATGAAATGGTATTTATAAAAGTAAATGATTTATTTATATTTATTTCCTTATTTCTACCTTTACCTTTACCTTTTTTATTTATTTTTTAAATACCGGGTGTTTCAAAAGTCCGAGTGGAAATAAAACTTCAATAGCTCCATCATTTCTCAACCAAACTTCAAAGTTGTTCTTTTATTTGATAGAACAACGTTCCAAATTCTATTTCATACTACTGGAAACTCTTATTAATATTTGAAATAGTGTTTGGATTTATTATAGTGAAATTCAGATATTTCGGGACTCTTTTTTAATAAATTATGCAGCGCAAAACGTTTTGAAAAGAACATGAATAGTTTTTAATATTAAAATAAAGTAGATAGTGTTCGCTTTCACATAACGAAATTTTTTTTTTCGAAATAATTTTTGCATAAAAATGATCGGTTGGTGTGTATTTTGTTACCTATGGTTGTGAGGTATGTTTAAATTTCCGAAATTACCATAATTTACTATTCACCATACAGGTTCATCCATGAATCCAATACAGAAATTTTACCAGAAATTACCTAGATTCAGATAAAAAATGAAGTTCAGTCTTTTCTGATGTCTTGCGGATACTTGAGTTGCTCGTGTACCGTCTGTTTTCTTTTCATTTAGCCATGCATTATTAGCAGTTGGTTATTCTGATACATCGCAAGCATTTATTGTACGAAATTCATGGGGAGAAAACTGGGGAGACCATGGATATTGCTACATGTAAGTATAGCTCTCCCTTTCCTTTTTCGTCTCTTACACTATAACAAGTTAATATTTAGACCTTACGATTATATGACAAATAGTAATTATTGTTTTGATGCATGGACTATAAGAAAACTTGATAGTAACGATTTTGGTGCAGATCATTGGGATAATCGGGATGAAGTGGATTATTGCTCGGTGAGTAATTTTAAAAAGGACTTCCATTTAACTAGTTTTAAACAAGAAAATCGAGAGTATTCAAAAAATAGTAGCGCTATTGGCACATCCAGAAGTGTTAACAAGCAGCTATTGTCACCTTCTAGCTTAGTAGAAGGTTAGAAAGTGTCAATAGCCATCAGTGACACCTTTTAATCAAGACAATAGCCGTTATTGACACCTTTTGAAAGAGGCAATAGCCATTCCGTTCAAGAAAACACAGCTGCAAAAAAAAATGCAAAGATAGACCTACGTTTTTGAGGTTTCAGGCAAAAACTGAGCAGGACGAGGATGGTGATGGGCAAGCTGATATTGAAGAATTTGAAGAGAATGATGATGGCCGAGGTAGAAGGGGAGGCGGAGATCCTACTTCAGATGGTGATGGTAATCGAGAAGGATATTCGAATGAGGATAATTATGATGACGAAGGAGAAAATTATGATTAACAATATCAACAGCAAGAAGATTATTGACAGTATAACTTTCAATTTGAAAACCAATATAAATATTGATTTTATATAGATTATGAACAACATAAATTTAACAATGAGGTATCAACATGTATTTTATAATGCATGACAATAATCTACTACTACTATTAACGGAAATCAGTATGCTACTGATGTCTGTTATGGCAACAATCACTTTATTTCCTTAAATAATTTTTTCTGTTGATGTAACCTGTAAATATAGGTTTCTGTGAGGAAGACAGACATATCACCTGATATACGACACTTTACTTTTGAGCATCTCTTTCGAATAGTGAAATGATCAAAAACTTTTGATTACCGGTTCTAGCAGCAAAAGAACAGTATGAAATTCAATCCTATAGAAAAAAGTAACTTGTGAGCTATAGAAGTGTTGACTATTCTATGTTTTCTACTGTACTTATATGTTGACCATTCTATAGCTTCGAAATGATTCAAGAGATGTTTCAGATTTTTATACATGCAAGCAGCATCATTTGTACACTTAAGTAAATCTGATCTATATTTTGATTGAAATTTTTATATACAGGCT